TCATGACAGAGCTCTACATATCGGGTTGTCGACCATGTTCCCCCCCACCTGTTTCGCAATCTGGACCACAGCATGCCGCTGTTGGTTGAGCAGGGTCTGGACCTGGTGGAGTGTAGTAGATGGGTTAAAGCTGAACAAGAGCCCCGTGTTTCCTCCACTAGGTTTCCCCATTTTGAGTTCTTCATAGTGGCCCACACCATTCTTGATCTGATTCGAAAATGGGTTAGAATTCTCCTTAGCCTCACTTCTTTGGCCCAACTCGGCAGACTTTCCTTTAGAGTCTAGAAGACTGTTAGGCAACTGACTCAACCTAGGTGCTATGAGTCCAACCTTTTTCTTATTCTTTCCTTTTTTATGCCTTGGAACTTCTTCTCCCTGATTACCTTCTTCATTCCCTACCACAAAGTCCGTCCCCATCCCAGCATTTATTTCCGGTCGTGACATCCCCACCAAATCTGCCCCCAATTCGTTACCTTCTAAAAACTTTTCCCCCATTTTAGCAATTAAGTCAAATCGTGTGTGAGGGCCGTTACGAACGGAGATACCGATAGTTTCCTTAATGGCTCGTACGGTTGCCGTTTTTTTTTATTTTTCCTTCTCCAGCGGACCACTTGCATCCACACCCTAAACTTCTCTTATGGTGTCATTGATGACAGCCCTGCCTTGTTCCCATCGTCAAGCTTTCCTCCCCCTTTTATCACTGCATCCTTGGCCAACTTAGGGCACTGTTCCTGGAGGTGGCCATAACAGCCACACTCAAAACAGATTGTCGGCAACCCCTCATATACTACCCACTGAAGGTGTCCCTTAGTGAGGATTTTTTAGATTAGCGGTTTAGTGAGGTCGATGGAGACAATTATGTAAGGAAACTTCCCCCTTTTTGTGGTTTCAGTGTTGTAATCGATACAAACCACCGTGTCGATTACCTTGACAATTGCCCATAATACACTTTTATGGTAGTTCTTGATTGGTTGACTAGGAAAACGGACCCATGCAATCACCGATGCCACCCGATCATCTTTGACAGAGAAGGTCGATGACCATGGTTACATTGTAAGGTAATGGCTAAAGATGACCCATGGGCCACCTATTAGGGTATATGTAAAGTCAGCAGAGTCACTAAACTTGACCAAGTAAAAATTATTCTCTAGGTCCACTAGTTGAAAAATCCCAGCAGGATGCCAAAGACTTTGAAGGCGCACCAACAAGGGCCGATATCTAATGGCTCTACCCAACATCCGTATTACCATTGAATTCTTCATAGATTGGGATAAGTAGTTGTGGACTATGTCAACGAACACCATTTTTGGAAAGTCCCCGTCAGTAGCAAGGATTACATCCTCATCCCTGATTTCAAAGTCCTCCTACTTTTTTTCCGATTGCTTGGTATTGGTCAGTTTGTGTTTGAAAGACACCCTATTTTGGTCCCAACTTCCATAGAGCCCTGCTCTGTTCACTGGCATCCCTTCTCTCATCATCAGATTTTGTCATAATATCCATATCGCTTGCCTCTTCCATGTTCTCAGCCACAATCCGTTCCGTCTCCTCCTCCTTACCCAGAGAGGAGTCAACGGTTTCCTTTCTTATCCTAACCTTCTTAGTCGGTCGATCATCGTCAAGGCACGGCGGCGCCTCGCCTTTTGCGGTAAGAGAGATATCACTAATAGAGAGGATTTTTGTATATTTTATACTGCTTAATTAAACAAAACGTAATGTACTCTTGTGACATTTCTCTGTTTAAAATGTAAGTTTAAACATATATATGTGTAACCTAATTAATCCGAATATAAGTTTAAATATAACTGATAAAATATAAATTTTTTAATATTTTTTAAATTATTTTTATTATTACTATAAATCTGTCAATTAATTAATGAAATGCATAAATTCATATTTAGAGAAATTACTTTGGAATTTTCCACAATCAATTAGTCAAGATTTTGAAGATACATGGAGTCAAAATGAGATACTGTTTGGAGGAGACACATTAACTTCATTCCATATCTGGGTTCTCTCTCTCTCTCTCTTTCTCTCTCTGTCTATATATATATATAACATGTCCATATATTTATTGTTCATGTGGACTGTAGGCTCGTGTATTTGGTCATGTGTGACTGTGTGATGCATGTGAATTTTGAATAATATCAAGAAATAGTTGTTAAATCACCATGCGGACTGTGAGCTTGGAATGCATATATATATATATAAAGTATTTGTTTGTACGTAGGTGTAATCTCACCCAATAAATCTTTTATTAAACCAAATAGAAAATCAAATAGAACCTTCTGTGTTGTATGTATGTATATATAAAAGAGAAGGAAAAGCTAGCATATAAGTCTATATAATCTATATTATCTAGATACGAAATATGTAAATTCTAGACTGATTTATATATATGAATAATATATATATCTATATATATATATTCCACAAAGATAATATTCTTACATCTCCTTTGAAATGTCTTCTAGCTTAAAAAAATTAATCATCGAATTTTGTAAAATCTATATTCTAGGGGGAAGATTTTTGTTAGTTGTTAATTAGATAGTTAGATATATTATACATTATCTATTAAAAAGAGAAGTATATATACCAAATTGCAGGTCTCTCTCTCCTCCATATATAATTGCATGGCTTCAATTCCTTATTTTCTCGAGTTCCATGAGCTCACAACACCTCATAGTGGAAACCCATTTTCTTTATGCTATATATATATATATATATAACTTTTTATTAGTATTTTATTCTATAAGAATATTTCAGTTTCTATAAATAAATTTCTTTAAAGTTTTAATCTCCATATAAGTTGAAGAATATTTTGTATATATGCTAATATTTTTTTTAGATAAGTGAATTGATACGGTTGTTCTCTCGCTGAATCTGAGCTAAAATATAGTATTATATTTAAAGTAAATAATTAATTATACCGGTGAGAGAGTATTTTAAAATTAACGTTTATTTAACTTTACAAATTTTATTTAAAATAATAAAAATTAAGTATTTGAAAAAAAAAAAAATACAACCCATATCTAATCAAATTTAACTTTTTTTTTTAAATTAAAATAAGTTTAATCTGTTAATTCCATTGATATATGACTATTGGTTGGTTTAAATTTTATTAAAAATTAACATCATGATATGAAATTTTTTATATGCTCCAAAGAGTGTATTTAAACTATTATTAAATTTGGGTTTAATTTATAAAATATTGTTTTACATATATAGTAGTTGGCTAGAGAAGTAAAAAATTCGAATAATTTTATAAAAATGTGTAGTTTTAACCCATATCCTTTTAATTTATTGGAATGAAAATCTTTTTAATAGAAAAAAGAAAAAGAAAAATTGTTGGATTGAGGTTGAAGGGAGCAAATAAATATAAAAGATTATTCTAGACCGAAAGTGAAGCTCTCTAATGAAATGGCGGACATGTCCAGAATTTTCAAAGAACCTCTGTGTTTGTGTGTTTGTAGGGATGCTTTAGTTTCTAGGCTCGGAAAATGACTCCAATTTTCTGGATGATCGAAGAAGGAAAAAGAAAAGTAGAAGTTGAAAGTTCTACTCGTTTTTGTTTTTTCGTTTTCTTTTTACACAAAAAGTGAGAGTAGAATTGAGTCAACCTGCGAGTGACGGCAAGTGGGTGTCGGCTCGGAAATGGTTTGCCCCAGACACGGTGGTGATTCGCGACTAGCTTCTGTCTCCTAAACCCCTGCTCCATTTTGAAATAAAAAAATAGGGAATAAAGGACAAAAGCCAGTGGTTTTCTAGTAGAAATTCGAATATGGTTTTTGGTCACGGGTCTGTCTTTTTCCTGACACCAAAGAAATTTGAATCTTGAGTTTAGATCGGGTCTAAAATACTTTGTTGGGCCTTTGATTTGGGTTCTGGTCTAAACCCCTTACCTCAAAATATGGGCCTAACCGGAAGCTGGGTAAGCAGAGACATACATATATATATATATATATTATGTATAATATATATGGACTGTATACAATTAATTATAAGCTTAACTGGAGAGAGAGAGAGAGAGAGGTGGGGGGGATTTGCATGCTTTTGTTTCTGTGCTAAAACTGGGTCCAATTCCCCTCCTCATGAACATCTGGCTTTATTAATATATATTTCCAGTTTTGCCAGCTTGTGCAATATCAATTATAAGAAGGAGAGCACCCATGTGAATTGATTCTTTGTTAGCTTATATCTTCGTTTTGGGACCACTCATCATGTGCCCCCCCACGCGTCTGCTCACACCACCATGCATCCAGAACGTGCAAGAAAATTCAAATCCAAAATCACCCCCGAAAAAGATTTCTGATCTTCCACTCTTTTCTATACATACATACATACATATATAAATCAGTAAAACTGCTGTAGATATATATACAATTACTGAAACATATACATATATATATATATATATAGAGAGAGATATTTTAAGTACATTTACTGCTTGATTTCTCTTACATGAGTTAAAACTGCATTATTCTCCTTCAAAATTAAGAAATTTAGGCAGCATGATACAAAGAAATTAAAGAAAAAGGAGATGACGCCAAAATTGTTCCTAATTAAATTAAGAAAATTGCAAACATGACCCTTCAACACCATAATTTATGTTCATAATTAAGATTAATAAATTACCGGTGACAGACACATTTGTAATGGTAAGCACTGTTTATGGGGTCGTTTCCTTCAACCGGAACTTGCTCAGCGCTGCACTTGTATTTGCATCCTCTACATTCATTGTATGTGCAGGTGGGTGCCGTTGATCCAATCATTAACCTCCTTGAATTCCTCTTCATCTTCTTTCCGTCACCCTAACACACACACAGATATATCCAATCAAAACCCAAGTTCAACCATCTTGTTTTCTAAATATAGATATAACTCGTATGTGTACCTGAAAATATAATGGAGAAGAATGAGAGAAAACTCTTTCTTCATCATTAGGAAGTAGCTGTTGGGTTTGAGTTGTAGATCCTGCAATACTGGAAAAGATAATAAGCATGAGATATCCAAGGAAAGAATTATAGTTACAGAAACGAGTTGGTGGTTGGTTATGACCTTTTACTTGAAGAATTGAAGTGAAGATGATGAGCAGCAAGAGGAGTGAGTTGCAGCGTGTAATGGTGGCGGCGGCCATTGTTGTTCACCTGGTATGGAATGTGATTACGTTTGAAGGAGATATATATATGTAAATTATATTTGGTCAACGTATTTGAAGGGGAAAGTAGATAGAAGATGATAGAGAGAGAGGGGTGTGTGGTGAAATAATGAGGAGAAGAGATAGACTGGCTAAATATGTGTGCTGTGATTCAAAGAAGGACACTCGAGAGGTCCCCAAGGTCCATGCACAGACAGACTGCGTATTGCCTTGGGGGAGGAAGAGAAGAAATGAAAAGTAAAGGGATTGTTTTATTATTAATGAAATGACTGAAATACCCTTATAATTTGAAGAGTATTACATCTAGTATTGTTGAATATATTTGAATGGGTACCAGCTGGTTAAACAATGATTTATATGGGTTAAGATCCCATCAAGCCCGAACCATCCAGCGGTTTCAGGCAACATGACATGACATGACATGACATATCACCTTTTGTTTTTTTTTCTTTTTAAAATACAGTGAACTGATTTTAGTTTTTACTCTCAATTTAAAGTTGTTACTAAAAGTAAAGTTATTATATGTTTGATAAATTTTAAAAATTAAGTAACTATATATATTAAAATTCTTGTTTTTTTTTAAAAAAAAAATATAAGAAAATAATAAATGAAAGTAAAAAATTAAATTTTTAGTAAAATAGTTATAGATACTTAAATAATATAAAATATATTTTTTTAAAATTAATTTAAATAATTTAAAAACCGTTCTTATTTATTTTTTCTTAATTTTTATTTTTAATGTTAGTTTAAGTTGATAATTCTACGTTATTTTTTTAATTATTTTTTATAATATTTTTGTTCTTATACTTGGAAAATTTAATCAACATATTATTTATATTAATTTTAGAAAAGGTAAACATGTATTTAATCAGAAAATCTTACATTTTCAATTTCTTGTTTAATCTAATCTGATTTGTACAAAATTGGCCCAGTATTTGCGGTTCCTTCTTTCTTTGGGTTTCGTTGTTCATATTTTCGCTCTCAAGTCAAATAGTTCCCGCGAATACCCAACCTTCAAGATCAAGAATACCAAACCTTGCCGCTCCTCTCTCTCACAGGCAATCAGAAGCCTGCAGAGATGGCAATACAAGCAAAATATCCCTTTGCTTTTGCCTCCAATCTCATGATTCCTTCTCCGAGGAAACCATCCAACCTTCCCTCCTCATTATACCAATCTCTCTCCATATATATACTCTGCACTACTCTATTTCTTCTCAATTCAAGAACCCGCATATCCTCTTCACTCTTATTTTCTTCTTGCTACCATTTCCTCTTCTATTTCTTCTCATACCCATATGGATTCTCAACCCAGACCAGACTCTTGGGACACAGTTTCAGCAGGATTGGTTACAGCTTCCAGTTATACGAAGCGGGTGGTGTTGAAATCCCTGGTGGGACGCAGCGATGGGGGTCTGGCTTTGGTGGGTCAGCGAGTGGTGATTGGTGGATGGGTCAAGTCTTCGAAGGAGGTGAAGAAAGAGCAGCCGCCGCCGGCGGCAATTGTACCGGCCAGTCTCCCTAGAGCTGGTGGTGAGGCTGCGGGGAATAGAGACGTGACTTGCACGGAGATTATTCAATCTAGAATCACCATTTTTAGGAAAATAATCAATGCTCTGAGTGGTGCGACTAATGTTCCTGTTCGTGAGAAGACGGACTCCGCGATTCAAAAGCCTACCCTACCATCCCCTTCTACTCTCTACTTCCTGATAAATGATGGTTCATGTGTTGCCAGTCTTCAGGTACAGCTGTTTTTTTTTCCCACTAAAATATTCAATTATCACGTTGTAAATGCTTGGAAGACTGAAATTTTTTTCACCCTTTGATATTTTCCTAAGCCTGAACTTCAGACATGATCATACTGTTGGATTGCAATCGTATCATAATATTATTAGCTACAGAATGCAATGTAGTTAAACTGTTTGTTAATATGTAACCCAAACTTTGAACATGACACTTTTGTGGCTGGTATTCTGAATTTCTTAGGTTGTGGTGGATTCTTCAATATCTTGGTTGCCGGCTAGCCAGCTTCTGCCTTTTGGAACTTGTATAGTAGCAGAAGGGATACTGAGGGAACCATCATCACCTGGAAAACATGTTGTTGAGCTCAAAACAGAGAAACTTCTTCACATAGGGACAGTTGATCCGGATAAATATCCATTATCAAAGAAACAGTTGCCCCTGCACGTGTTGAGGGATCATTCTCACTTTCGGCCTCGCACAACTACGGTAATCTGTATATTGATTACCATCTTATCCGCTTTTTTTTTTCCTTTACCTTGCTGCTTTTATTATAGACACCATAATGTGCAAATTTTTTGAAGTCTTCATGTGATATGCTTTGTGAGAGTAAATTCATCATATGGTCTGTTACAGCGGACTTGTGCAGCTATGATCGATTATCATATGTTAAAGACATGTTTAGATGACTTTGTTAATGAAAAGTGTACGCATATGGATATGAGATTGTACTCATATTCATAAAACCTTTTATGTTTCCATAATGACCCAGCATATGTAGCCTAATATGTTTCATATGTTGTAGGTGGCATCAGTCACACGAGTCCACAGCGCCCTTAATTTGGGAACTCATAAGTTCTTCCAGGACCATGGGTTTCAGTACGTGCAAGTACCTATCATCACAAGCACAGATGCTGAAGGATTTAGTGAGATGTTCCAGGTTACTACTCTTTTCAAGGACGCAGGTAAGGAGGAATCTGAAGCAATTATTGATACTGATGTGGTTAAGCTTGATGTTCTTAAGGCTGCTGTAAAGGTGAAGAGTCAAAAGGTTGAAGAGCTTAAGAGAAGCGAAAGCAATAGGGAGGCGCTGGTTGCTGCAATTCGGGATTTAAACAAAACGAATGAACTAGCATCACAGCTAGAATCAAGGCAAAAGTCAAAAGCTGAAAATTTCACGAAGGCTGATAAGTCAAAAATTCCTGAAGATTTCTTCTCTCGCCAAGCTTACTTGACTGTTTCTGGTCGACTTCATCTAGAGAGTTATGCATGTGCCCTTGGAAATGTTTATACCTTTGGTCCAAGATTTCGAGCTGATAAGGTGGAGAATGTAAGACATGTGGCAGAGATGTGGAATGTTGAAAGTGAAATGGCTTTTTCAGATTTAGAGGTGAGACTGCAAATCTTCTGTTCAGATTACTACTTAGTATTCTTCATGGTTGGGACTCGCATAGAATGAATACTTTTGGCTGAAGTATCATATTTCACTAGATAATTTTTCAACTTAATAATAATGGTCTATAATATCCTTCTGTTGATTAATTCTTATTGAGATGAACCTACTGAGAAATGAGACTTTCTAATTGAAAAGTAAGGCTGGGCTACATAATTGCTTAATTTATTTAGTCAATATTAGTAAAATGATTCAATGCATTTAGAACTTTCTTGCTCGATCAACTTACAACAATAATGTCCGAGGTACACCTGAATCAACCTGGTTGTGTTGATAGTATTTGATATGAGTTGGATACTGCAGGGTGCCATGAACTGTGCATATGATTACTTCAAATTTCTTTGCAAGTATATATTGGAAAATTGTTCTGAAGATATAAAGTTTATATCAAAACGAGTTGACAAGAATGTCAGTGCTCGCCTTGAATTGATGGCATTCAATTCTATTGCGAAACTATCCTATGCAGAAGCAGTGGCTCTTTTGCAAAAGGTGAAAACAGAGCACATTTTCATTCCTTATTTTTGTCTTGAATGCTAGTCCATTTATAGTTATTCTAATAGAAGTCTTCTTTCTTCCAACCAGATCGTGGATAAGACATTTGAAACAAAACCGGAGCTGGGCATGGCTCTAACAACAGAACATCTGAGGTACAGATTGTTTAATTGTCATCAGAATATGCCAATTTGAAAGGGCAAGAACTGAGACGCCAGTCATGTTTGGCTCTTATATTTTGTTTATGACAGCTATCTGGCTGATGAGGTCTACAAAGGTCCAATGGTTATATACAATTATCCAAAAGCACAAAAGCCATTTTATGTCCGCTTGAATGATGATGGAAATACAGTTGCAGCTTTTGATGTGGTTGTGCCTACGGTAAGCCAATAATTTTCTGAGGAGGTGAAGGGCCTCTTTTGGCAAAACTGTTATATTCCTCCAAGCGTAAGTAAGAATGCTTTAAAGCTGGAAATTTTATGTTCTCAGGTTGGAATACTAATTACAGGCAGCCAAGACGAGGAGCGGTTTGATAAACTGTTTGCAAGGTAAATGATCTTATTGTGTCTTTACTATATCAGAGGTGATTTTTTATCAATCATAGTCCAATGTTGGGAAAAGACACAAAAACGTTAGTTGTCACAGATGTAGACGTTGGTTAAAATGATAACTTGTTGTATATGCTGAATTAAGTTAAACACTTTTTTTCACTTATGTTTCAGGCTTGGATCATATGATTTTTCTTTGTTTTCCTCAAGGAACATTAACTTAAAATATTGTGCTCTGCTTTTGATACAATGATTTCAGGATCAAGGAACTAAGCTTGCCAAAAGAGCAGTATGAATGGTATTTAGATCTACGCAGACATGGAACAGTCAAGCATGCTGGATTCAGTTTAAGATTTGATCTCATGGTTCTTTACGTAGTCGGTCTTCCTGACGTAAGGGATTCAATTCCTTTCCCCAGACGGTGGGGAAAGCAATTGGTCGATTAAGTTTCCAGTGAAAACCATACTTCAGGAAGGTATGCCATATATGAAGCCTATCAATGTATTGGAGAGAAAACAGGAGAAGTGTTATAAACATGTACGATACACAAGAACACGAAGAACATACGATAGCTAGATATCACACTTGGTTATTCTGAATGCACAGTTAATGCTCATATTCACTTGTAAATGTAAATGGGAATAATTACTTAAATAAAGGACAAATTTTATTGAACTTGCATGCTTGCTTTATATTTTAATCTGAAGAAACTGATTTTAGCATAACAGAGAGGGGCTTGAAAATTGTGGGCAGAAGATATATGGCTGGCTAATGACCAGGCAGCTTGGTTCTCTTCTACACTAAGCTAGGCCATAGACTCTGTCCCTGCCACTGCCACTGCCACTGCCACTGCCACTACCGACTCTGCTTCTTGTAAAATACTATGGATGGCAAATGCCTAAAAACATTAATAAGAGAAGGATATTGTAAAGTAAGCTCATGGTTCATTCAGGCTTCCAATGCTTTTGGGCGGCCTTTTATTTTAGGGGACAAGTGGAGTGAAGTAGACGTTTTTGGCTACTGGCATCATACTTCACTGGCGCCATAGTGAGCGGAAAAAGGATCAAATGTATAGCTTCTTTTTGGAAGTCTCTTTCACTCGTTTGTCTGGTGGGGTCAAAAATAATTCCTTTCTCAAAACTAAAGCACATATATACTTTTCTT